TTAAAGGTTTACTTTTGGGGATTGAGTGTTACATTGGAATTTCAGCACTTAGTAAAGAAACAAGTACTTCAGCCCTTGAAGTCCCTGCAAACTGTATTGCAAGATGGCATTTGTCTATTAAAAGAAAATAAAATTCAGATCTGAATGTTGAAAAGCAAAGCAAACAATTTGAGATACAGTTGCTCTTATATGGTGATCTGCCAACCATGCAACTCCAGGCTAGTGCTGCCAGCCTTTAACAAAAGGCATCTCTGCCAGAACCTTTTCCTTTTCCTCATGCTACTCCTTAGACCTCACAGGTATGCTATTTTCCCCTCTCCTCCTTAGCACCTAATGAGCAGAGAGGCCCTGAAAACAGAGGCGTTAAAAAGCCCGGCACTGCTTATTGTCCTTCCTATGTGCCGTGACCACTGTCCTGCCTTCTGATGCACCTTGCCTGTTGAGAACCAATGCAGCAAATATTCATCTGCCAAACAAATGGGGGACAGCTGCACTGCAGGATTGACTCTTGGCATTAGCACTGAAGGTTTTGAAGGCCAGCTTCTACCATGAGTTTGATGCTAAGCATGTCCTCACTGGGCTCCTACCACAACATGCCTGTATGGCAGTGTCTTAATTGGCATTTACGCAGCTGGATTCCAGCTAGTAGCACGCAACTTTCCTTTGTTGTCTACGCACGAAAAAAGACAACTGAACTTCAGCAGCGCATCACTATAAGGCAACTTCAGAGTAAGATGAAACAGAGGGGAAGAGGATTGAGGTTAGAAAGTGATGCAAGGAAAGGCAGGCAGCTCCTATGCCCTGGAGAAGTGCTATAATGTCATTGAACACCGGGGGGCAACCAAGCACCCAGCCTTTGGGAAGAAAAGTACTCGATCCTCAGAAAAACAGCCTCATTCCTTTTCCTCCTTGGAGCAGACATAGCCTTTGATAACTATCCTTTCAAAAAGCAGCCTATTTTTTAAAAAAGGTCACAGATCTCTGTCTTTGAAAATAGCAGTCAGGATCTGCTTATGTCAGTCTACTGTGCAACACACAGAGGAAAGTACTGAATTTTGTTTTCCCTCTACTTCAAGTACTTACCCAGAGCAACACAAGGCTAGATTTGATGTCTCTGCACGGTGTGAAGTCATTATCTTTAATACACAGGTGAAATATTAATACACGGGGAGGTAGAAAGCTCATTTGCAGGAAGAAACTTTAGAAAATACAACTGATTAACACACCTTGCACAACTAAAGGAGCAATGTATGAAACAGAATGCACTGTAGAAGGCAACAGAATTATGAATCACTTTTCACAGTTTAGTCTTGGATAAGTGGCCCCAAATGTTTGCTGCTTAAATAAACAAAGAAGGAGCAGCTAGGGAATAAGCAATGAATGCTGGAAACTTAAGAGGAAAAGTTTTGGTTTATAGATCATTCTTTGTAGCTTTATCATGCCAAAAATCATTTGAAGACATTTTACAGCAGATACTTCCACCCTTTTCCCCCATGAAGCAATCCCTCTACAGTTCAGAAATATCAAATGTCATCATTGTCACATCTCCTCACACCATTCTCCTTACCTTTTGACATACTGCAGGGGATGGTACCAATTCATGGGCGACGATGCTAAAGCTGTGAGTTCTGGCAAGACAAAGACAGTTATGATTCATCGTGGCCTGTGTAGTTTACCTGGAAGAAAAGTGTCTCCTACAAACCACCTCAGTTGCTTGTTTTCAATGTAGTGAAAGAAGCTTAAGAAGACCACTATGAAAGACAGAATGAACACTGGGAAAAAAAACAATTGTGACATTACTAATACTGCAAGTCCTCTAAACAAAAGAACCAAAACTTCCTTGAATGGTTTGCTTGCATGAAATGTGTGCTTGTTGAATGGGAATAAGTGGCAGGCATTTGTAAGAGTAAGAAAAAGGCAAGTGTCATGAAGTAAGATGGCAGACTTGTCTCCTGCTTTGTTTCACTCAGCCAATACTAGTTGTGTTAAAGTGGGAGGGAGGAGGGGCTGATTATCTGAAAACATCTCGTCTTCATCTAAAAGTATAATTTGTGTGAACATTACATAGAGAATATCTTAATTTTTTTGATTTTATGTGTATGGAAATAAAACCAGATGAGAAAGATCAGACCCAGGGTACTTCTAACTTTGAAACTCACATCATTGCAATAAAAGCTGATATTAAGTACAATAACTGATCATATTGATAACTCAAGTCCTGAACTAATCAGGACAGACAAGATGGAACTTCTTAAATCAGTAGCACCACAGTTCAGTTCTTCAGTGCCTTTAACATTTTTAACATTTTAGCATTTCTGTTGCTGAAAGAAATACTTATCCCTTCTCATGAATTAGTAGCGTTTTAGATATTGTTTTCAGTAGCACCCAAAATAAATTTTTGACTTCAGAAGGAGCACCATAATTTTTCTGTTTTAAACACTGGTTTTCAAGTTGTACATAGTTTTTGTCTGCTTGCTATTTTTGACAAAGACCTATTGAGAAAGACATTATCTTGAAGTCTTACAAACAAGTATTGGATGTTTTTATGAAGGGATTTCCAAAGAAAAACTGACTTTATTCTGTTCTGTAGCATGCAGTGAATTTCAAAAGGAAAGATCATGAGAAAGATGATAATGTGAGTTCTTGAAACAGTTTCCTCTGAATAATTTTGTAAATAGAAGCATTGATATATGTGATGATCACATCTCTCTTCTTTCTGAAGGCTCACAATTCTCGTTATGTTGCTACAGATCCACAGTCACTCTGTGGGCCTGAATCAATGCCAGCTCTCTCTTTGTGTTACAGAGCAGAGATAGCACTGACCATTGAAATTTTCATGTTCTGATGGTGTTAAACCTCAAAGAAAATCTTGACAAAGTCATAGGTAAACATGGCAAAGTTCCTTTCCCAGCCTCACACTGGAATCGGAGCTTTATGTCCTCAGCTCCTGGAACATGGGTTTACATGGTGCTTCAGGTCCTGCAGTCCTATAAACCCAAATCACCTCCTCCTTGTTCTGTTTTTATGGCTCCACAGAAGCCTTGCACTTCCCTTAAAAATTCCTCCTCTCAGAAGATACTGAATTAATGAAAGTTAGTGTGTTAACGATGGCATAGAGCTAATTCAAAAGATAACCATCCTTCATCTTCTGGCCTTCTCTTGTTTGTCCTGGTTGAAACCCTTGTGCTCCAGCCATCTCAGCACCTACAAAGTGTTTCAAGCATGGTCCAGGGGCTCAGTCTTCCAAGCTTTTTCTTTCCCATAGGTGTGACATGAGGGGGATTCACGAAGAGCCACAAAATGAAAGAAATTGTAAAACATAGCTTTTTCATAAGGCAGGATGCAAGAGCTGTGAAGAAAGGTTAGGTTTGTCATGCACTGAGCCCTGTTTTGGGCCTGTAGTGGAAACACAATCGTCAACAAGAAAAGGTAGCCAAGGCTGCCATGAGCTTGTTACAATTAACAAGAGTTGGCTTAAGGGAAAGTTGTTTTTCCCGAGAATAGATGTCTCACCGTACTCTTGAAAACATACGAGAAGGATGAAGTTGGTGCCTCTCTGCAGAGGCACCTCATGCTCAAATCTAACCATTTATTTGCGGTGTTGTCAGTTCGTACCGTGCAGAACTTCTCAGAGCTGATCGGCTCAACAGTGCATTTGACTGAAAGCGTTGATGATACCCGTGCAACATTTAAAAAAACCCAAACAAACACCGTACCTGGCAGCAGCCTCTCTGTGTCCCTGTTCATTAACAATATCGCATTAGCAGATGGCTTCACGTGCCTTAGCTCGTAACATAGCAAATGGATACCACCATTTTCAGCACAGAGGAAGCACAGTATAAAACCTTCACAAAGCGCACCACCTCCACAAATATAGGATTTTCAAAACCCTGGCAATATTATAAAAATAAGAATGAAGCTTCAAATGCAATTAAATACAAATAACTGGACTTAAGTATTTACTATACAATAATTCCTGATAGTGCTTTGCAGAACTGAATTTATTTACAATATTCTGTAAATAGCAAACATCATTTCACTCAAAGCTAGATGCGTGAAGGAAAACAGAGAAAACAGATGCTACTTTAAGGCAAATACTGTCATATCCAATGTCAAGGTTTAAGTGGCTTACAACCATTCATAAAATTCATATTTTGGCCCAGTTTATTTTTTTCAATTACAGTATCAAAGTCAAGAGGCCAGTGTTTTAGGAAGGAAGATATGGCAGCTGTTTCCCATACAGGGATCATTTAGGTGCCTACACATGGATTTGCAGAGCAGCCTTAGGCAGACTTTCATGACAAGCTCGGTCAGTACTTTCACTTCATTTACACAGAAGCAGCAGGACACAGTATAAAATAATTACTTTACAGTTACACTTTTAAACAATAGGCTTCGATCTTTTTTATATTCCCATCGTCTTTCACCCACAAATCTGCTTGTGACAGTAGCTGGGAATTAACTGATCCCATTTAACAACACTACTGATCACAACACAATTGCACCCTGCATAGCCTATGACACCTGTTTGATCCTCCTTGCAGCTTTCGACTACAGGAGGAAAATATCCCCAAACTTAAGATACTTCAAAAATAAGATAAATAACAACTGTTTGCCTAACTCTGTCCATTTTAATTACTTATTCAATTTATCGTATGCTTCATCTATTAACTTCCACAAATTGGTAATGAGAAGTTTCGTAACGACTCCTCTTGTAAGGCATCAAGATACCATGGGCACACACACTATTGTGTGTAATAGCATGTTAACACACTGAGGT